TCGTCTGCATGGACTGGCAGCGTGTGAAAGGCGTCCTTGAAATCCAACGCCATCGCCTCGACCTCCTCGTCCTCCGCGGCGTGGCGCAGAAGGTGCATGGCATTGCTGAGGATGTCCTTCGGGCGCGGAAGCACAATCCTCTCGTCGACCTGCACGCACCTGTTGACGCCCGATCTGCGGAGGTCGATGATGATCCTGGCCTTCTTCGTGCCGTCCTTCCGGTCCTTGACGATGCAAGCGAGCCTGGACGCCGCAACCGGGCCGTAAGTGCCGACGACCTGCTTCCAAGACTTGAACCTGACCGCGAAACCCTCCTTGATGATCCTCTCGATCTCGGGCTCCGCGTGCACCCTGGCCTCCTCGAAGCTCTTGTAGTTGCCGTGCGCCTCCAGCAACGATAGCACCTCATGCGCCTGCGTGCGCTCCTTCGCGGCCGGGCCGAGTTGGGGAAAGATCCCGCAGCTCGGCACCGGTCTGGCCACGCCGATGGGGGCGCCGTCCCGAAGCCAATCTCCAAGGTGCACCTCCGGGTCCTGCGAGGCAGCCACGTGCGCCTCGACGATGTCCCGCTTCCAGGGCGTCCGCTTATGCGCCTTGGCCTCCTTCGCGCCGAGGGCGCGACGCAAGTCCTCCCGCGCCGCGCGAAGACGCGGATCCCGGACCAGCTCCTGAGCGCGCTCGCCGCCGTCGGGGAGGTCGAGGAAATCGGGATGCTGGTCCAAGAACTCGTCGAGGAAGGCCCCGATCTTCCGACCGGTCTCCGCGAGCATCGGGAGCTTCTTGACGGCCTTCCACGGCGCCCGGAGCCCGCCGATGCACGCCTCGTTCTCTTCTGCCCGCCGCGCCGCCCGGGAGCCAGCCGTTGGGTTGGCAAGCGACGTGCCCGCGGGTGCCTTTGGGGGTGATCGTCCGCCTGCGTCTTGCGCGGCTCGACCCCGCCCAGACGCCTCGGCCTCCTGGCGCACCCCGGCCAGGCGCAACCGGTCCTTCCGCTGGCGGATGACCTCCTGCAAGCGGTCGTGCTTCGCGCGGAGGTCGCCGATCCGCGCGGCCCGACCGGCAGCTGAGCGCGAGCGGGCTCGAGGGCGGGTGCCCCGCGACTGGTCCGCATGCTTCTCCACTCGGGGAGGGCTGCCTCCAGAGGCGCCGGCAAGAACCGAACGCCCCCGGTGCGGCAGCGGGCCGTGCCTGTGCTCTCGGTGACCCTGGCCGGGTGCGCCCTCTGGTGAGGCGGAGCGTTGCCTGCCGCCCCTGCCGCGCGCTCCCTGATCGGACCGAGGGCGGAAGCATCACTGCGTCTTTGTCCGATCCCTGACCCGGGAAGCCTCGCCCGCGGAGGCGTCGGCAAGGACAGGGCGCCCACGGCTCGGCGGGGAGCCGTTCCCTCTTCCGCCGTGCTTCCTCCTCCGGCGGCTCTCCAGGGAGGGAGAGCGACGCCTGCCGCTCCTCGCTCTCTCCTGCAAGCGGCTCCTGCTCCTGGTGCCTCCTCCTTGCCTCCAGTGTGTGGGGGGGGGCGTTGCACCGACTCCGCGGCGCCGGATGATCCCGGGGCGGCGCCTGCATCGGCGGGCGCCGAGGCATCGCCCGCGCAGCCGAAAATCTGCCGAAGGCGGGTGCCCTACTGACGCACCGACGCGCCGCCGCCCTCGTCGAGCAGTTCTGTCTTCCGCATCTTCCCCAGCGGGTCCGCTGGCCGTTCGCTCGACTCTGGACGGCCGCGCTCGCCTGCCTGGGGAGATAGTCAACGGGGCGGCGACCACCCGTCAGGCTTCTGGCGGCACTCGATGGATCTGTGCTTTGGGGACCTGCACCACTCGCAGGCGTGCACCCTGCCGTTGGCGCACACCTCGCTGCACCCATTGGCGTTGTGGTTCCACGCCCAGCAAAGCGGCTTGCCTCTCTCGTCCCCACGCCACCTGCCGTCCGGATGCTTCGCGTTGCCTTTGCCGCCGCCCGCGGCGCCACGGCCCCCGCCGCGTCCTCCGCTGCGACCGCGGCCGCTGCCTCCAAACTGGCTGGAGTCCGAGGCTGCGCGGTCCTGGCTCCCCCAGGCGCGCTTCGCACCGCGCTTGCCGCCGCCGTTGCCGCCTGTGCCGCCGCCTCCACCTCCTCCCGAGCCTCCGCCTGGGCCTCCGCTGGGGCCTCCGCCAGGGCCGGGATGCCCAGTGCCGTCGTCGGTGAGCTGCTGCCTGGTCCTGAGGTGGGTGACCCAGGGCGTCGCCTTGCGCCCCAGCTCCTCATCCCAGAAATCGGAGTCGGCAGCGGCGGCCTTGAAGCAGTAGTCCCACGGCATCTTCGGGTCGAAGGCGTGCGGCGCCCCCGAAACCTGCGCAGCCGCGTACTCTTCCTCGGCGCGCCTCCTGATGCGCTCCATGCGCTCGGATCGCATCCGCTGATCCGCCAGCGCGACCAACCACCAACAGACCTCGCCGTAGGTGTTGTTGAACTTGGAGATCTTGTTCTGGTACAGCTGGAGCCTCGTGGTCGTGGCGGCCCCGAGCGCACGCATGCCGACCGAGAAGACTCGGAACGCAGGCAGCCACTCCGCGAACGTCGGCGGCCCTGGCACCTCGTAAGGCCTGTAGTCGCCGGCCGGCGTGATGTGATGCACGACCAGCTTGAGGGTGCGCGCGAACCGCTGGCCGTACGGCCGCCACACCCCGAAGTCGGGGCAGGGGCACGCGCCCGTCTGGATGCGATGCTCCAAGGCCGCCAGCTGGTCCCCAGTGACGTCCTCGTCTGGCTCGGGGTCCTCGTCGTCGTTGGCCGCCTTGAAGGCCGCCATGACCGTTCGCGTCCGTTGGGCCGACCAGGGGGCGATCTCGGAGTCGTCCGCCTGGTCGAAGATGGTCGACATCTTGACCTTCCTGATGGAGCTCGCATTGACGACCTCCGGGGGCCCAAGAGGGTTCCCCGGCGCCGCCACTCCGCCGCCGCCCCCAGAAGGGGAGCCCTCGCCTTCTTCGTCGGCAGGTAGTCCGAGGCGCAGCCGGCAGACGCGACGAACTGAGGCCTCAGTTTTAACCCTCGGAAGTGGCAACTTGAGCCACGATTTTACTTGAGCCACTTGTGGCAGCTTCACGACATCGTGCACTACAATCCAGTACGGCCCAACGCCGCCCAACACATGTAACAGTTATCATTTCTTTTACTTGGCACTAAAAGTCACAGAAATCATCGCGCGCGTGTGCCCGCCGTCGGGGATCTTCTGACCCGGGTCAATCCAGGCCCCCTCCTGCCCGAAAGGAATGGCTTTGGGATGGGAGGGGAGGGGATGAGGAGGAGGAAGAGGAGGAGGAGTAGGAGGAGGAGACGGTATGAACTAAGGACGGGGGTGGGAGGGCAGCTGGGGGAATCACCTAAACAGGGCAACGAAATTTCTAAATTGGGGGGTGGACAAGCGTGGTGTTGTCGCCCTTGCCTGCCCTCCTCCTCCTTCTCCTCCACCTCCTCGGTCGTCTCCTCCCCCCTTTCGCTCTTCCGTTGATGTGGATGGCGTCATCGACCCGAATCCCCCTGCATCTCCGCCTTCCCCTATCCCTCCTCCCATCCTCCTCATTCACTTCCCCCATCCCTCCTTCACCTCCTCCCCTTCCCGCTCGCCCCCATCGCAAGCGGCGCCGCCAGGGGGCAAAGGACTCAGCTTGCAATTTTCGGGCGCCTGCGAAGCCGCAAATTCTCCACCAGCTCGCTGAACGTGCCACGGATGGCGAATTCTCGGCAAACAGAGTTTACGTGTTTGCAGTCACAACTTTGGTGGCCTGCGGAAATGCGACGCGGGAGTCCAGTTGTGACGCCAGACCTTCGCCCGCGCGTGCGTGAGCAAAGACATCGACTTGTGCCCAAATGGCTACTGACACCCCCTTCCTGGGGCATGCCGTGGAAGCGAGCCCTGACACCCCTCCCACAGCACAGGCAAGCGATGGGAGAGGCAGCGACGATCAAAGAAACAGTGCAGCACGACAGCCCCTCCAGATCACAGGCAGGAAGGGGAACGGGGACAGCAACAGGCCATGGGCGACGGCGCCCGCGCACACATGGACGGAGATGGAGAGCACGGCGACGGACCCCGTCTCCTCATTCCTCCCCCCCTCCCTCCCTCCCTCCCTCCCCTCCCTCCCTCCCTCCCTCCCCCCTCCCCTCCCTCCCTCCCTCCCTCGTCCCGCAATGCCCTGGAGGTCCTCCAAAGGGTCTCCGCGGGCCCCTGGAGGTCCCCAGAGGTCCCTGGACGCCCCCAGGAGGCCCAAAACGGAAGCAAAGTGTGCAAATAATGAAACTTCAATCCTCTAACCTCGACCCTCCTCTTCATCCCTTTCCCTGTCCCCGCTTGAGTGAATGAGCGAACGAAATCGGTTGTATGTTCATGCCTTGGTTTTCTTCACTCACTCGTCCCCTCCCCCCGTCATATTTCTGGAGGCGTCCAGAGCCATACCGAAACGAGCGAAAGCCTCGAACCTCGGCACTCGACCTTCGTCCTTACCCACCTCCCCTTGTCAGGTCAGCGCCTTGACTGCTAAAACGCAACAACCTGCCAGCTCCACATCCACGCGTCCCCTATTCCCCTCTCGAGGGCGTCTACGAGGGGGTCGTCCAAGAAGGGGGTACGCAAATGATGGCCCGAAGCACGTGCGCGGCAGAGTGGTGGCCCAGGGACGTGTTAACGGAAGCAGAGGGGGCCACGAAATCTGGGGAAATATCATGGCTCCAGACATGATATCCACCTCCCCCCAGTCATCACCAACTCTTGTCGGCGGCGAGCGATGGGGGGAAATGAGAATGACCAGGCCTTCCCAGAGGGCGGCGAAACTTCTCCGAAGCTTCTGGCGTCTTCTGAAAGGTTTTCTGTGCCTTCGGGATAGGCTCGGAGAACTTCTCAGAAGGTCGCGGGACTTCCGAGCCTTCTGAGAAGGCCCGCCACTTCTCACTTCCCCCCTGGGCCCGCCGCCGATCTTGGCCGCCCCCGACCCCTCCACGCCTCCCTGGGGGGGCAGAAGCGGGGC